AGACGCACGGTGAGTCGGCGCCGGACCCCGACTTGAGGTCCAGCCCAGTGGCGACCTCGTGCTTCGCCGAGCTCCGTATGGTGTCCATGCCGACATGCGCGAGCCTTGCATGCAGCCCGTCCGGTGTCGACTTCGTCGCCGATACTATCGCACGCAGGGCCACCACCTCCGTCATCGACGTCGTCAAGCATGGACGCAGGTCGGTGCAGAGGACCCGGCCGGTGTAGGACGCCCGACCAAGGACGTTCACCGCTACCGAGACGAGCAGCATCCCGTCGTCGTCGTCCTGCAGCTTCACACCGTTCTCCTTCAGCTGGCCGGATGACAGCAGGTTTGCCTGCACGCCCGGCACGTAGAGAACGTCGGGGATGAGCACATGCTTCCCAGTTACGCCTTGCAGAACGACGGTGCCGCGGCCCCGGACGTCCTGCAGCGCCCCATTGAAGCTGCGGATGTGCTTCACGTTGCCGCTAGGCCCCAAGTCGGCGAAGGCGTCCTTCGTCCCCATCAGGTGGTGCGAGCAGCCGCTGTCCAGCAGGACCGCCGCCAGGTTCGCCTGCATTGCTGCTGCCACCACCTGGAAATCCTCGTCGGCCTCCGGCGCCAGCGAGACAGTCGGCTCCACAATGCCGACTAGTGAGCACGACGCCTCCTTGTCGTCGCGCTTCTTGTCACCAGCACAAGAGTCGGCGTCATTTGCCGAGGTCGACAACTTGGTTGACTGCTTCTCCTTGCGCGGCTGGTTCCCTCCTTGGCGCGGATGACGGCTGTCAGATCTCCTACGGCCTCCCTTGGCGTCTTCGTCGTCGGAGTCATTGCGGTCACGGCACTCGAAGGAGAGGTGGTCGGGGTCGCCGCACAGCCAGCACTCCCGACGTCGACTTCCTCCTCCACGACCGTTCTCCTTCGCCGACTTCTTTCTTGTCGGCGTCCCTAGTCGGCCTACCGCTACTACTTCCACTGCTGCCAGCCTGCCCATGTTGCCCCGGTTGGCCACCTTGCTTCGCCTGGGCGACGTAGTTCACCTACGGCAGGAGCTCTGTGGGCCGCTCAGCTTCCTGCATCGCCTCATCCTGCAGGATGTATGAGGTAAGGGAGTCTTCGTTGAGTGTCGCTCAAATGTTTGGCGCCAACGACAGCCACTTCAGCAGGTTGTAGCTACTTGAGAGCCCTTTGATGACATGCGTGACGTACGACGCCATCTAGTAGGTCACGCCGGCTATCCTCATTGAGGCAAGAAGTCGCCGAGCCTGGTTGCAGTAGTCATTCGCCGTCTCCTGTTCGCCCATCCGCAGGTGCGACAGTTGCTCCTCAAGCTGGCCGATGTACAGGGCGTCGGTGACCTGGTACGTCGACTCGATGAAATGCCACGCCCGGTGGCTGGCGTCGAGGTACTCCCTGCACGACTTCAGGGCGATCTGCACGCCCAGCGAGCAGCACCGCGAGATGACCGTGAAGGTCAGCAACTGCACTGCGCGAAACTCCGCACGCAGGTCGGGGTAGTGTTCCACCAGCGTCGCCACGGTGCCGCGGGCGAAGCCGATCAGCCCGGCCATCTCCAGCTGGGGCTTGATGGCTTCTTTCCAGGTGAGAATGTCGGGTCGACCGACCAGCAGGGGGGTGACTGAGATCCTGTCTGGCGTAAACTTGAAGTAGAGGTAGCTCGGTGCAATTCCTCCCACAGTGATGAGGGTCGCCGACATCGGCGACAAACCGCTTCATCGACCTCCGACGTCGCCTTGCAAAGAGCCTGGAGCCGCCGACAACCGCATCCGTCGCGCCTGAACGCCACCGACTTCATTGGCGTGTATCACACCACGCTGCCTCGACGTGCCTCTCTCACTGCTGCCAACTTGGTCACCACTAGCATTGATGCCCACGTCGACGCCGTCCTCGGCGTTCACCGGTCGAGGAGAAGCAGGCCGAGAAGGAGGGTGCTCTGTCGCCTACACTGCGCAGATGCCAGCCTCAACGACCGCCCAGGTCAGGTCGCCATACTAGTTAGCCTGGTGACATCTCCTCACGTTCTCCAGCCGTGCCTCCAGGGTGTCCACCACCCCCGTGTCTACTACGGCGCCTACCATAGTGACTACCGCACAGCTGCCGGCCTACGAACACAAATTAGGTAAGTGACCCCTACGACGACTAGACCGAAAGGTAAGTCATGTGCAGTCCACGCTCACCGCACCATGTGGAGATAACTCGTTTAACGGGAGCTATGCTAAGGGCTAGGCATGGGGCTAGAGTGACCTTTGCGTTCGTTCGTTCCTTAGTCATTTCCAAATGCTCACACTACTTGCTAGTTCACAAGGAGAATTGGCAAGAGTTTCACCAAAAAAAGTTGACAACAAATGATAGCAACAATATTGGCAACACAGACTACATCAGGGCTAGCTAGGCTGCTCGTCGACCTCCAGCGCAGCATGGTCGACCTCGGTCCAGCGCAACAGAGATCGCACCGCTCCAACGTTGCAGAGTAGCAGTGCACCAACGTTGCAAGTCTGCAGTGTGCCAACACTGCAGTAAGTCGTCTGCACAGCGTTGCACCCGTGGACAACGGTGAACCTGCTTCGCAGGTGCGTGCAGCTGGTTGGTGCACTACTCCTCGTCACGTGCACAGCGTAGACGCCCAGGTCGACTCCATGCCAGCGACTGCACCCACCGGCCACGTCGACCTCGGGATACCATCCCTGAGGTTGGCCTCGCGGAAACCACCCCGGCGACCTTCGTATACGTCGCCCGGGTATCCCGGTCGACCGGGCAACCTCGCCTGGTCGACCTACTCAGTCTGTAGCTGGCCACACATGCCCGGCGTCCCAAGTCCGGCGTCCAGGCACCCAAGATGTCGTCCAGATGCCCAGGTCAGCTTTCAAATGCCCAAAAAGCTGTGCAGACGCCCAGGTCACCGTCCAGGCTCCCAGGATTCCAACCAGACGCCCAGGTCGGCGTCCAGGCTCCCAGGACGCCAACCAAACGCCCAGGTCGGCGTCCTCGTGCTTGGCGCCCTCCAGCTAGGCGCCCTCCAGCTCGGCGCCCTTGCAGTGGCCCTCGTGCCCACTGCTGTAGGTCAGCTGCATCCCTCGCACACCCGACCACGAGGTCGGCTCCGCCGAAGCAAGGATGGGGCCAAACAATACTCCAGTTGACAGAGAGTTGGAGCTGGGATTGGGGGAACGACCAGGGGAGGGGGGAGAAGGGGTGGTGTTAGTCCAACGGAGGGGGCGGGGGGGAAGGGTGATTGGGTCAATGGGAGGTGTGGAAGCGTAGTACGTGGTGGACTCATCAAAGATAACATCACGACTGCGAATGAGGCGGCCTGAGGGAGGGTGGGGGAAGAGGTAATCTGGGGAAGAGGGGTTGTGGCCAAGGAAGATGCAGGGTAGGGTCCTGGCAGCAAGTTTGGCAGTCTTGCAAGAGCGGTTTGCGGTGTGGATAAGGACATGGGCCTTACAGCCCCAGTCACGAAGAGGGGAGACATCAGGTTTGGTAGAGGTCCATAACTCAGAGGGGGTGGTGGAGGGACGACTGGGGTGGGGATAGAGGTTAGCGAGAAGTGTTGCATGAAGGGGTGCATACCCCCAAAGGGAGAGTGGGAAGGAGGCATGCACCAAGAGGCACCAGGCCGTTTTGGTGATCTCTTGGATACGACTCTCTGCCACACCATTATGCTGAGGGGAGTGGGAAAGAGGGTAGGTGTGGCGAATGCCATGGGTTGTGCAGTAGGAGGAAAGTGTGTGATTGAGGAACTTACCACCACCACCTGAGTGTAGACGGTGGATCGGTTGTTTAAAGTGGGTGGCGGCTTGAGTGGCCCATGCAATGATGGCAGCAGGGGCTTCAGCCTTAGTGCGTAGGAGTGATACCGAGGAGTATCGGCTATGATCATCCACAAGGATGAGGAGATAGCGATGTCCCTGTCAGGAGGGGGAAGGATTGGGACCCCAAAGGACCATACGGACTAGGTCAAGGGGGGCGGGAGAAAAGTTGGGATGACTAGGATGAGGGTGTTGTTTGAGCTTGCTTTTGACGCAGACAGTGCATGGTGGGGCTGGGGAGGGTGGTGGGGAGACCATTAAGGAGGGAGGATGACACAATTTTGCAAAGGGTGGCGAAGTTGGGGTGGCCAAGGCGATGGTGTAAGAGGATGGCGAGGTGAGTGAGCTCTCGACAGGAGCAGGGGAAGGGGGTGGGAGGGGTGGGAATGGTTGTGCGGAATACCTGGGGAGCGGAGGAGCAAGAAGTGCGGAAGGTGTACATGCGGGTGGTGGGACACATGGGGAGGCAAGTGAGAAAACGACTTGAGGTGGTGTGATATAGGTCACAGTAGGATGCATAACCTGGAAAGATGGTGGTGACACTGGCTTGAAAGAGACCTTGGGAGATAAGGTTGTAGCGGAGGGAGGGGATGCAGAGATCAGTGACAGTGCCAGAGGGAAATATGGGGCATGAAAGGGTTGATGAGTGACGACTTTGGATGGCGAAGGTGGAGTCAGCACCAAGGATAGTGGGGGGAGTGGGGAGCGGAATGAGGGTTCCAACGTCGTGAGAGACTGTGTGGGAGGCACCACTGTCTAGAACAAATTCAATGGGTGGTGATGACGCGGAGCACTGGAATGACATTTTATTAATAGCATTGGAATGACATTGTATTGATAGCATTGGCATACGTGGATGAGTCACTAGGTGTCGAAGGCTGAAGACTTTGGCTTACGAAAGCAGTAGTGGGAAACGGGGTAAAACCCGGAGGAAGGGAGGGGGAGGGGGGAGGATTCTCTATCACCTGGGGTGGGTTAGTGGAGAGGACGGGTGGGGAAGGGGCCGGGGAGTAGAAGGGGTATGGGGGGAACGGGGAAGGGTACCAGGGGGTGGGAGGTGGGATAAAGCCAGGGGGTGCAAGGGGAGGGGGGGCCGGACTGTGGAGGTGTACATAGCGTGTGGTGAGACTGTGGAGGGACACGGGAAGAGGGGTGGTGGGAGACTTGAGAGATGGACAGGGGCTGATGGACAGGGGAGGTGCATTCATCATGGGGCGTGGGAAGGGGATGGAGGAGGTGCAAGCGTGGGGGGTACCAGTGTTACCACGCTCAAACCATTCATCGGTCAGTGACTTGAAGCAAGTGGCAGTGGTGTGGGTTGTCTGGAGGCAGTGTTGGCCTTTGAGCGAGCCATAGCGAATGTGGTATTGACACAGTGAGAGAGTGCCAAGTCCGGACGCACCACTGCAGCCAGCACCACGGCCACCACCACCACCACCACGACTGCTCCCACCGCGACCACCACCACCAGGACTGCTACGTCCTACACCACGTCCCTCGTTGTAGCCGCTACTGGAGGCGCCACGGCCACCTCCTCCTCCACGGACAAGGGCAGCAGTGAGAGGGGAGGAGGAGTGAAAAAGGTCGGCGTCGGCGTCAAGAAGCCAGGAGATGATATTGGAGGAGGAGAATGCGATTTTGTGAGTGGTGTATGCAGTGGGGAGGGCGTCAAGGATACGGGCCATGAGGAGGGAGTCGGTGATAGTGATGCCGCGGTTAGAGAGGTGAAGAGCAGTGTCAGTGAGGCCGCGGGTGAATGTGGCTGCATTGGGAGAGGTCTCAAGTGCGATGGCCTAAAATTTGCGGTAAAGTGCAAGGAGGGAGTTGAGGTCTTGGCGGTCAAAGTGGGTGCTTAGGTCTTTCCAAAGGGCTGCAGAGGTGGTCGAGCGGATCTCTTGTTTGAGGGAGGTGGGAATGCATGCAAGGATGATGTTGAGGGCTTTAAGGTCGGCGATACACCAAGCGGAGGAGTCGAGTTTGTATTTCAGGTCATCCACCCGGTATTTGGTAAGCCGATGCGCATACTCGGTTGTTGCAGTGGAGTAGGCGGCAAGAGCGTCCTTATGAGCGAGTGCGTGCCCATCGATCGGGATCATCGGGATGAGCACGAATGGGTGGAGCTGAGGGAGTTGGTCCTGGAGGGGGGGGGAGGATCAAGAAGAGGGGCGCAAGAGGGTGCTACGGGAGGAGGGGGGGCAGCTCCGAAGGGGGTATCAAGCACAAGGTCAAGGAGGTTGTGGTTGTGAAGTGTTGTGGAGCCAAGAAGGACATGCATGCTTTCAAAGAACGAGGTCCAATTGACCGGAGTGGTATCAGCAATGAGCTCAAGACAGTCTCTGGAGCTGATGTCAATAGAAGAATCGGTAGCCATAACGACAAGGTGGGGGAGGGGGACAACCACAAAGGGAGGAAGGGATGGGGTGGGGCGTAAGAGCTAGAATGCGTGGAGATGAGGTGGGTGGGAGGGTGCAGGCACAGGAGGAGGGAAGGATGAGGATATGAGACGGGATGGGAGAGAGCAGCCACTGGGGGAGGGGAAGTTGAGTGTGGGGACAGGTCTAATGTGTGTCGGATGAAGGCTTTGGTTGCCGAGGGTGTCGCGATCGGTGGCGGCGCGGGGGAACAGGAGGAGGGACAGCCCCGGGAATCCGCGTGTCGTATAGAGGCAGGGGTGCGGACGACGGTCGCGGGTGCGCAGAAGAGGGTCGCGGATGCGGGGGCGATGGTCGCGGGTGCGCAGACGGCGGTCGCGGATGCAGGGGCGAGGGTCGCGGGTGCGCAGGCGGCGGTCGCGGATGCGGGGGCGAGGGTCGCGGGTGCGCAGGCGGCGGTCGCGGATGCGGGGGCGAGGGTCGCGGGTGCGCAGGCGGCGGTCGCGGATGCGGGGGCGAGGGTCGCGGCTGCGCAGGCGGCGGTCGCGGATGGGGGGGCGAGGGTCTCGCATACGTAGGTGACGGTCGCGGGGGTCGACGTCGATGGCGACCAGCAGGGAGAGCTGGTGCCAATGATGAGGTCAGCGCGGACAGCACCAGCGGCGCGCAATGTCGATGGAAGGAGCCGCCACGAGCGTCCCGAACGGCGGGGACGCAGAGAGCGACGCGAAGGGCGTATGCGCAGGTGACGATCGTAGGAGGCGGGGTCGTTTCGGACAACAGCGGCGATGCGCCGTGAGGAGGGAAGGGTCTGGCGCCGGTGGCGCGTGTGGGAGCGGATGATGGGGGGGGGGGGGGGTGGGCGGCAGTAGTGCTTGGTGATGCTGTTGGAGGTGATAGCACGCGTAATTGAGGAGGGGTACTGCCGGCGGAGGGCGTGAGCGTCACGGATAGCGATGATGGCGTGCGGAAATAGGCGGAGGAGCTGTGGAGACCGTCAGAGTGATCACGTGGAGGGGGGTAGTAGTTTGTGCGGAAATGCAGGCTATAAGGAAGTGAGATCTGTACTAAGTTTGAGTTAAGGATTGTATGGCGTGAGCCTTAGAAGCTCTGAATACCATGTGAGGATTCTGAATGAAGGTTTCATTAAGGTACAAGGGATTTTACATAGTTGAGGAAGAGGGATGAGTTGAGTTAGTTATGTGATGCTATCATTTGCATTCACGCATGTCTGCCTCCCAACAAATGTTTGTGCATTGCATGCGTGGTGTGAGTGTGCGCAATAATTGTATTTTGCGTGGTTTGGATTTTGTGAGTGTGTGTGAATGTTATTCGGCCTGAGCAGATATCTGAAGTGACTCCTCTGCTCAAGAGCTTTCCAACGAACCAAGAATCGTCGCGATCGGAGCAAGAACGGCGTAGTTATGTTCGTTCAAATTTTTGTTTGGGATGCGACGACTTTGGGAAGTTTGTTGAGTGATTCAATATGGGGTATAGACTTTTGGGGGTTGGGAAATTCGTCCCCATCACTGTAGTTGATGCTAAGTGGTTGGGAGAAGCCAAACCAGGTTGGCAAGTGTGGCCAAGTTGGGTGAGGTGGATGGCATGGGTTGGGAAAGTGACAAAGGTCAAAGTGGGGTTGCTATACGGAGGGGATTTGATGTGCTTATGGGGTTTCCTTGGTTGGGGACTCCTTATGGACCTTCCCTCTCGTCTTCCTCTCCCCTCCTACCTGGTTTATTTTCAACTCTATTATCTTTGTGTGTCAACTTTGGATACTATTTGTGATTGAGTTAAGTTTGCTATGGCAGCATACCCCCTGGTGCGCCGAAATTCATAACTCAATAACTACTTCACCTTTCCGTTCGATTCAACTTGAGAATTGTAGCCACGGACCAGGGCTACAAGGTATCTGGGTTTAGTGAAGTTTTGACGATGAACTTTTTGTCGACGACGTTTATTGTGAAGTCGAGTTTTCTGTCCAGAAACCTGAGCCAACAATTTTGTGAAATTTAGGCCTCTAATATTCGTAGACTCTGTCATTAGTCTATAACAAGTGGTATCAGAGCTGATTAAGGACTTTGTAGAGAGTCTACTGAAGTGTGAAAACCCTCCTAGACCCACCATGGTTTGTGGGCGTGCCTATGTGGAGCTCTGGAGGTTGCATGTGACTTCCGCTAAGGGGAAACTCTGCCGAAATTCTGTTGGCGCTGACACTTGTGGAAATTGAGTGGGACATCGGTGTGGACAGCAAAGGGGGAGCTGGAACCTGTGACTGGGAGAAGACGAAATGAGTCAAGGGAGTGGAGATGCAGCTGAGAAGAGGAATGAGCCGCCACCATCCAAGATCGAGGCATTGGATGGCTCCAACTATGAGGATTGGAGTGGGCGGATGCAGAGTGCGATAAAGCGCTACAAGCTGCTGAAACTTGCGATGGGAGAAGAGAAGATGCCGGAGGAAGGCGACGCCCGCGATCGGTGGATTGAGAAGAGCGCGGTGCTGTACGGCCTAATCGTACAGTCGGTCGACAACAATATGTTTCAGCACATCAAGGATCTTGTGGAGCTGGATGACTCCGGACCGAAGGCGTGGAAGCTACTGCGTGATGTGATTCAGCCCAACACGTTGCCGATGGTGATTGTGTTGGAGAATGAGCTGGCTGCCCTCTCCATGCGACCGGGTGATGATGTGAAGCCGGTCTTGGACAAGATCAAAGACACCTATGCGAGGATGGCAGCAGCAGGCAACAAGGTGTCGCAGATGCAGCAGTGCACCAAGATCATCTCGATGCTCGACAACACGTGGGAAAGCCTCATCGCCACCCTCGACACTAAGCAGGACCAGTGGACACCTGAGCGGCTACGGCAGTAGATTCTGCTGGAGGATTTCCGCAGGCGCCACACGGGAGGCGGTGCTGCCAACAAAACTGCTGAGGGGTATGGAGCTGCAGAAGGCAGCAGAGGAAGAGGGGGTGGGAGAGGCCGAGGCCGTGGGAGAGGCTTTGGCAGAGGGAGAGGCCGAGGTGACTACAACGAGGGGCATAGGAGCTCTGGAGGCAGGGGGAGCACCCGAATGGAGGGTGCGTGCTGGTACTGCAAGACGGCTGGACCACCATGGTTCAAGTATTTCAGCCGGCCGGAGGGATGGGCGCCCCCAGGCATGAAGCCGCCAAGTGGTGAACGTGCACGAGGTGGTGCTGTGCAAGGTACAGGTGCACAAGGTGATGGTGCACAAGGTAAAGCTGACCCGTGGATGTTCCTCATGGTTGGGATATGAAAAGGATTGAGGGTGATGGGGGCTCGGTTGGGAAGGTTGTGATGCACCCCCTCACTCACTAGGTAATCGATTCAGGTTGCACAAGTCACATGACCCCACGGGCAGACTTGCTTGATGAGGTGAAGCCCCTTGGGAAGATCAAGTTTGTAGCTGCCGCTTCAGGTGCTTTGCTCCCTGTAATTGGTGTTGGGAATGCCAAGGTGATGGGAGCTTAAGGGGAGCTTGTGGGGCTTGGGAATGTACTGCTGGTTGAAGGTTTGTCCGCTAACCTCCTCTCTGTGCACCAACCGCAGAAAAGCAAGGCCAAGATACATTTGGCCCGACCAGCTGTGGGAAGTTGCTGCTGTGGGATTTGGAGGAGAAGAGCAGCTGCATCAAGGACCTATGGCAGCTGCCCATCATCCCTTGGAACGGGAAACCACCAGCAACGGCAACGGCTGCAGCAACGGCTAAGGAAACTGCGGGGGGAGAGGAGACTGCACCAACTGCTGGGGCCGTGAATGCAGTCAAGAAGGTGCAGCAGCCACAGCAGCCACATGGTTAGGTGCTTGCTGGTGTGGATGCAACCGCTGCATGGGCAAAGGCCTTATCTGGGAGTGGTGAGGCTGATTGGGAGAGATGGCATGAGAGGCTACTCTCCACCATCCAAGACCTACAAAGGGCAGGAAAGGCAAGACGCAAGGTCCCAGTTCGTCACATTGCCAGAGTCACCGGCATGCTAGCATCCATGTCCCTGGCCCTCGGGGCGATGACGCGAGCATTCAGTCAAGGCCTACTGCACGCAATTCAGCAGGCACCATCATGGAACAGCCAGGTGCCGCTTGACCCCACGGCCATCGAAGAGTTGGATTTTTGGCGCCACGAATTCGACAAATTTAATGGCGCCCCGTTCCACGTCCCCAACAGCTATGATGCCGTGATCCACGTGGATGCCAGCGCACACAGCTGGGGAGCGACGCTGGACAAGTTCTCAGGACGGCGTCTCGAGGCTAGTGCGGCAATGTCAAAGCACCTGCTGGAGGCATCCAGCACGCAACGCGAGATCGATGGTGTACTATGGGCGCTCCAAACGTTTCCAGAGCGGATTCGTGACCAGCACGTTCTCGCAAGGACTGATAAACAAGGCGTTTTCTTCATCCTCAGAAAAGGCGGTTCGAGGCACGACAATCTCACAACGACATGCAAGTCGATCATTCAGATATGCACGACCTTTCGGATTCGGCTCATGGTTGAATGGATCCCGCGCGAGCTAAACACACGAGCAGATGAGCTTTCCAAGTCGCTCGATCGGGACGACTACTCCCTAAAGACACATTGGTTCCTCCTCATCGAGCGTCGTTTGGGCCCACATTCAATCGATCTGTTCGCAAATGGGAGCAATACCAAGCTACCCCGGTTTTGCTCCAAAATATCGCACCCAGATGCAGCAGCAGTCGCGCTGCTACTGCTGCTGCTCCTGCCGCCATGGCTAACCCTAATGTACTTACCTTCGATGCTGAGGGTCGAGCAGTTGATTTCGAGGTCTGGGTCGATGATCTGCAGCTTTTTTTGCAGTGCGACTCTAGGGACGGAGTCTCACTGTTCGATCACACGTCCGGCATCTCTGTTGCACCTGCTGCTGATGCTGACAGTGCAGTTCGCTCACAGTGGACCACGCGCGATGCTGCTGCTCGTCTTGCTGTTCGTAGTCACCTGCCGTCTGCTGAGCACGTGCAATTTAGCCAGTACAAGACTGCTAAGACTCTGTATGACGCTGTTGTTGCGTGCTACTCCTCCCCTGACACTGCTGCACTTAGCCGCCTCATGCTGCCGTACCTGTTCCCTGACCTAGCCGCTTTTGCCACAGTCGCTGACCTCATTACGCACCTCCGCACTAGTGACACCCGCTACCACGCTGCGCTTCTTCCGAGATCTGCGCCAAGAACCCCCCCCCTATGTACATCACTCTCTACTACCTCGTCACCCGGCTCCCTGACTCCCTTCACTCGGTCAGGGACCACTTCCTCTCCCTTTCCCCCACCACGCTCACCGTTGACCTCCTCGAGGAGCGCCTCCTTGCAGCTGAGAAGAGTATAGTCGCTGTAGGAGCCTCTCATGGTGACCCTCGTGCCCCTTTCTTTGAGGGGTGCTTCCCCGTCCCCCTTTTGCCCTCTGTTGCCTCTAGTGCTGCTATCGACCTCGTTGGCACCGAGTCGGTCGGCACCTGCGTCTGCTCCTAGTGGGAGGCGCCGCAGCGGCAGGAGCAAGGGGGGCAAGGGTGCTGGAGGAGACGGCGGGGGCGGCGGTGGTGGCGGTGGAGGC